TTTCGTTTACATTCGTTAGGAGTCTACTGCACTCTTCATCTCATCCATCTGTTGTCGACCGATGAAATCTGACTTTAAAGACCAACTAAAGTTTTCCTCACAAGCGTATCGTTCCTTGTAACGATGACGGTATAGTTTTCAGAGAAACTACCTTGTCCACTTTGTTTTTATTTGTGAGGACTTTAGTTCAGAATAGATCGCATGATCTCTCATTAGCTAATGAGTAAAACTGTCGACGTATTGAGATGTCATTTGTGGTCTCATCTGTTCAAAATTTCCCGCACTTTTGGCGCAAACGATTCTCGATTATTTGTCGACACTGTTATTTTATGACATTCTTTATCTCAACTGAATAGCGTGCCAGAAATTTACAGCAATGCTTGAAATAATATTTATTGCAAAATTGGTGTGTTGTATAGGTCAACTTTGGCCAGGCTGACCTCGGGACTCCGTGGAAACATAGTGGCTAATCCAACAAAACATGTGGATTACGCCAGAGCAAGCACAGTCAGTGAAGACTGGCCGCCTAAGTATCCTAAGTAAGTAAGTATGTTGTAAAAGTCCTTGAACCGAAGAATTCAAGTGCATATGGGTGCGCTTGTTGCAAACTTTTCTAATCTAAAAAAGAACACGCATATTTTTGCCAACAAAGTTTATTTCTTTCGGTAATGCAGAATTCTGAACCCCAGGAAGTGCTAAATTTTTCGTAGTCCTCCTCAGTAGCCGTTTTTTCACGAATCTCTTTCTCGGCAAGCAGTCATGGAGGTTCTCGAAAAAAAAGGCAATCGGCTGTTGAGAGGGGTCCGTTGAGTACGTGACTGACGTGTAGTCTCGTAACTCAATTTTTTTTACTTTAACACGGTTGATTGAGCAACATGCAGTCAGGCGTGCTCTTACGACAAAACTAGGCAATTTCATTAGTGTATCACTCAATTCGGATAGTTCAGTTTTGGCACATTTCGTCGCCTGGTTAAAAACACCACTCTATTGTAATTGTTTATGAGATTGAAAAGGAAGAAGATATACTGATGGCTTCGAAAGTAATTATACCTTTGTAATGAGCTAGAAGTTAGCCTTCGAAAATGTTTCGGCCTATCACGTACTCAACCTTATAAATACGTTACCACTAGTAATACGGAGTTATTTTCGCTGTACTTTCAGAATGGCTCTATTGTACTAACAAAGCACAGAACAGAATCTATAACGATATCTTTTGACTCAATTTCAGTTCATGGGCCACTCTTTTATCGAAGCCATTTCTTAATGCTCCCACACTGTTAGGTTGTTCAGAAAGCGTTTCTTTAATACCTCTGCTCTTATATAGGTATGTATAGGACCTGCTGTATTTCAGAAATCATCGAATGAACATGATTAACACAATGTTACGCGCTATAAAGTGGTATAAAGGATAAAGAATAAAGCTCCCAGCGTTGATCAACCTCTGAAGGATGCGCCATGCATTCGACTTCACCAAGTGTCGTTGGAGGTGATTGAATGCATATCTGGCCCTTATAATAACTCGCGGTAGCCTATCTACCGATTTATCGCACCAGTGATGCAATCCTCCCAAACAAGTGTGGTACCAATTTGTCGATCCCGAAAGGATGGAAGGCCTGGTGGGCCATGGGCGCAGTTGGCGATCCCACGTGTGTGTTGCACGGCGCCTCCGACCAGTGTGCAACGTGCTCCTTGTAAAATGGTACATAATATGAAAACATGTGCATAAATTGCTAATTATATACAAAGCTTGAAAACTCGAAAGACCGACTTTCTATGAACCTCGGCATAGATAGTTGATATATTTATTATGTGATCTTATAAACTGATCTTCTTAAGCTGACGCGAGGTTGGTACAGATCTTCTTTGTCGTTGTCGTTGTTTTTGATGTTATTGATCAATGGCTGACGTTTCGGCGACTTCGCCTTCCTCAGAGCCGTGATGTTACGTGCGGGTCCCGCGTCAGCTTGAGAAGATCAGTTTATAAGATCACATAAATAAATATATCAAAGCTTGAAAGTTTATAGAGGCAAAGTTGCAGTCTTTATACAGTTTTTACACAAATGTATGAATCAATGCCTATATGCTTGTATAGCCGGTCTTTTGATGCTGTGGTGAGCAAGAGGACTTCCTAATCTTTGGAAGCATGTAGCACTTCTCCGTTAGGATTACGGTACCGTGCCACGTAATGCCTAAAAACAGCACTTTAACGGAGCTATAAGACTTTAACAAGATTCGCACTTAAGTTTTTGATAAATACTGTTAAATAATCATTTCCTCCAAATTTGAACGATACGTTTTCCTTACGCTGAGACCGGAGTAAAATTGGCGTTCTGACCATGAGAACATCGCTTCATTGAATTTTACTGAAGGAGCTTAATTGGAACAAAAACATTCACACTTTAAAAAAATTTCCACTTATTCAGTAAATTATAAGGTTTCTTACCTTACCTTCATTGAATTTCGATTTTTTTTCATATTTGATCCGTCTTCACGTCTACTGTGCGGATCCCAGTACTTCTCGCATTCGATTCGTTTCCTCACATCCATTGTCCACGAAGATCTTCCAACTTTTACGTGTGGCTTCGGTTGCATCTTGAGGATTTCCATTTCATTTTGAATGTTGTAGAATGCTCGTCGAGCAATTCTCCATGGAGTCCTGGGATAGCCGAGCTTGAACGTTTCCAATTGGATTGCAAAGAATGATTTTTTTCACTAGGCAAGTCTGGTACCAATTTCCCAACCCCAGAGGAGTGAGAGACTTGGTTGGAACGGAGCGTAATCGAACTTGCACCATGCTCGTGGTGACAGACATCACCACCACTGTGCTATTGACCTCTTTTTTAAATTTAATTTGAGTCGAAATTAAATTTCAACTTAATTTAAATTATTTTATATTTATAGATTCTACAATCATTTTTTTCTATTTTTTTCGTGAACACTTACATCTTAAGCAACGAAGAGTGTGGAGAAGTCGGATTTCGCCCTGCAGAACACAATGATGTACCGAAATGGCTCGCCAGTGTGGACAGGTGTCCGCCTGTGTTTTAAAAAATTCGATAATGTATCGTGGTTATTTTAGATGAACCGACACCACGTATTGCGGACACCATCATTTCTTGGGTTTTATCCATTTCTTTATGTCGATCGCTCACGAAAGTCTTCTAAGTTTTGCATGTGCGTACGGCTACAGCTAGAGAATTTCGTCTTTTCCATGAATGTCGCTGATTGCTGGTCGAATTGACTTTATCTGGAACCTTGGGATAGTTCTGTTACAGCGTTCCGAAGTTTTCACCACAGGCTGTGGCCAGCGTTGTAAATTAAAGGGAGCCAGGTGCTCTTACACGAGTCTAGTACCAATTTTCCGATCCCGAATAGATGAAAGGCTTAATAAGCCACGACCCGAGTGGAACTAGCACGTTGCCTATAATGATGAGAATTTCTACCATTGTACCATCCTCCTCTAATCATAATCATTTTTTTTTTGCTTTATACGACCCGCCTTCACGTCTACTGTGCAGATCTTAGCACGTCTCATATTCCTTTTGTTTCCTTGCATCCATCATCCTCAAAGGTTTACCAACGTTTACCTGTGGTTTCGGCTGCTGCTTGAGGACTTTCATTTCATCCTGAACGTCGTAGAATGCTGGTCCTGCATCACTACCATTGTACTATTCTCCCACTTTTTATCGCGATAAAATTTTCAAATCCCAGCTTTAAGAATTTCGAAGAAATTCGTTTAAAATACGTATATTTATAATTATACATATTTTCTACTGTGGTAAAGCTAACCAGGCCTCCTACTCCTCCGGCATCGGGGAATTGCTATGGGAATGGTCTGCGATTCTCCCTTCCAATTAACAAAGGTTGCTACTGCATCTTGTGGAGAGCTGGGAAACCCATAGCACGTCTATCCCAGAATTCCTTGAAGAGTCAACTCGACCAGAATTTAACAGCGTTCATGGAAAAAAGGGAAAATTTCAAGTTACAATTGAAACCATGCAAAAATCCGGAAATCTTCGTAAATTATGGTTGAGAGGAAACGAACGGAATAAAAGAAGTGTTAGAATGCATACGACACATAATTTTTGAGCACGCTGTAAATAAAAGTAGCATATGTATATATGTGCATATATAATCCTTAAAATGATAAGGTAGATTCTCCTTTAAAAGTTGTTCAAATGCTCAAGTTTTTCCACGCTTTATCGAAATTTTATCCCCTGTTTTTCATGAAATAACACTGCCTTGAGCGAAAGAAATTACGAAAAGAAAACATGAAATACTAAAACTTTATTTACAAAAACGATGCTCATTCCTACTTTTTACCGATTTTAGACCACTCATGGCAGTTGTTGTAGGCTTTGCTTCTTTAACATTTTCCTATTCTCTAGCTAAATAGTGACGTGAACAATGATACCTTACGACATTTTTGTACTAACTCTTTATCTTTTTCTACTCTTTCCGTTTTACCTACCGCTAGTTCCTCCTTTTTTTGTCACTGCTGTTCTAAGGATTCGCGTGTTGCAATCCGTTACCAGTCTTTTTCCATTCATTTCTAATTAATATCACCTTCAGTTCGCTGTGGTTTTAATTTTCAGTTTGCAGGCACTTCGAACGAAATGCATGTCACTCTCCAATTCGCCTTCGCATGCGCCCTTGTCGCCGTGCTCAGTAAATGATTTAGTTTTGTTATTGCTTCTGTTTTTACTATTATTATCAATTCTTATCACTGTTTTTCTTATTATTGGGGCCTGTAGCTTAGTGGGTATAGGTGCCCCGTGGAACATACTTGGTCATTACTTCGATTTCGCGTTCCGAGTTTAGAAACCCTATCATGGATAAGGGTCTTCAGATTGGTACCAGACTTGTCTGGAAGGATAGCAGCACTGAACTGGTGCGTCGATAGATCACTGCAACTCATTGTATAGCCCAAAGGTCGACTGCATGGCGCATCACTCAGGGGTTGATCAACTTCAAATGCCTTTTTATTTAACATTTAACTTTTAATTTATATGACCAAACTTCAAATACTGTGTGGACTACTATATTCCTTTTATTCGGATAATCGTCTCGCATCCTCCAACCCTCATCGTCAATGGACTTGCGTATTGGCACGGTTGCTCCTTGAAGATCTCTTCTTTCCTATGAATGTTGTCGAATGCTGGTTGAGCAAGCACTTAAAATCCTAGCATGTTGTGCTAAGACAGCCGCAGATCTTCACTACAGATTGCGACCTGCATTTATCTTTCAGAGAGTCGATATTTTTCAGTTATGTTACCAACACCAATTTTCCAACCTCGCAGGATGGGAGGCTGTGCTAGTCCAGGAAGATGCTAAACCAGTGGCCATGCTCACCATGAACGGCATCTTTAACCGCTGAGCTTTCCTCGTTTTTAGTTGATATAAACGGGAGAACAACGCTTTTAAAACTCTAAAGTTCACACTAGATGGAAAGTGAACTTAAAATTGCCGAAGGAGCATCCTTCACATTTTCGTCAAAGGAAACTGATGAGAGTAATGGAGAGCTTTGAGTTCATTTAATGTATTTTTATACTTCTTGGTAATTTACAATTTCTATAATTTCAAACTATCGAATTTCTGCTATCTCTTTTAAATTTTATAATAGAACCTCTAGAAACTTGATTTCTTTCCATTTATAACGTTTTTCGCTTTTTTCACTACTGCGATATTTACCTTTTGCAATACATCTAGGGTGTGGACTCGCAAAATTGGCGCCGCGGTAATCACAAACACAATGATGTGACTTGTAGGGCGATACAAACAGATTTACGATAAGATACATATATATACAGATGTTTTCTCATATTTACTCCACTCCTTAGCTCTACGTCAAAAACATTCTGGGCTTTCATTGCAGTATTAGCCGCTCCGCCGTTGCCTGTTGTGCCATCGCATGCGTGCAGCTCCGAAGATCGTATTCAAGTGCCCTGCATGTGCTGTAAGAAAGATTGCTGGTATTCGATTGCTGCTGTAAGTTCCTCCGCTTACGAAAAAAATATGAAGCAAAAACTAACTATTAATAAAAAATTCTTTGATGGTTATGTATCACATCTTTTTAACAACCCATGCTTATTTCAGTCCTTCTTTAATTATTCGTGTTGTTCCTTTCAATGGGCTTTTTAAACAAAGGTGTATAAGAGCCACCTATCTTTTATAACGGGGAGTTTTCGTCTTTTTTTAATGTAATGACCGTATGCCTAGGTGTTTAATATTAGCTGCATCACTTGGATCACATGTTGTCGTTTTGATCGTCTAGTGACGCTAGCGGGCGCCAATAAACCTTCCTTTTCTCCCTGCCGCGCGCACGAGAAGTCCAGTCGGTCCTGTTCGCTCTTGGGACTCGCTGAGTATCATATCTTTCTACGAAATGTCTTTGTTGAGCTGATTCGAGGCTGGTATAAGTTGTCGTTAGCGCTGTTGCTGTTGTTCACTGGCTGACTTCTCGGCGACATCGCTTTCTTCAGAGCCGGGTTCTTGTGTGTGGAACCAGTCGTGCGTTGATCAAGTTGGATGACACGCAACAACACGGTGCTGAAAAAGGCGAAATTCTCGAAAGGTCAAAGGAACACCAGCGACAAGTTATACCAACCTCGCATTAGTTCAACAAGCGCAGTTCGGATGCATGTATGGAATGTATTGGAATGTCCGTGCACGCATTGAAAATTTACGTCGAGGTTTGTAGAATACTGGCCTTTTGAGTCATCATATCTTTTTTCCACGGTTGTCGCGAAGAACTGGGACTATTGGAACCGTGGTTTTTCTGCAGTACGTTTAACATCCCGAGGAAACCAGTCTTTTGTTCATCGCTAGTCGTTCATACGCATTACGTGTGCGGCCATCCTTATCTTCGACAGTTTGGCGCAGAGAACGGCATCTTTGATTTTTGATAGTTCGCGTAGATAGAAGTTTCGAATCCCTTTTTTTGCTTTACTTACTTGTGTGAATCGGGATACTCCTAGCATCGTCCTTTCGACTGTGCGTTCGATAACGCTGAGTAACCTTTCATCCTGCTTAAGCAGCGACCAGGTTTCTGACGCATACGTTAGGGCAGGAAGTACAGTCGAGTCGAAAACGTGAGCACGAAGTCGGGTGTTCTTTGTTCTCTTCACTACATCCTCGATACTCTTGAAAGCTCCCCAAGCCGCTCGTTTTCTTCTGCTCAGCTCTGGAGCTAGATCGTTCATCATATTGATTTTCCGACCTAGATGTAACTGGAGCATTCGGAGATATTCTTCCCGTTGAGCGTGAATGCGGCATGCGAAACCAATCCGTTCTTCATGAACATCGTTTTTGCGAGATTTAGCCGGAGAGCAATCTTTCCACAGGTGTTTTCAAAGTCGGCGATCATTCGTACCGCCTTTCTTGTGTTTGGTGTTATAAGAATGACCCCATCAGCAAAGCCAACATGGTGTAATGGCCTGGATTTCTACTCCCATTATGACCCATTCCAGTACTCGAAAGTTGTTCTCGATGGTGGCAATAAATAATTTTGCCGAGATAGTGTAGCCTTCTCTAACTCCTCTTTTGACATTAATGATAATATCGTTGTAGAACGGTGATAACTCGGCTGTGAAATTTTTGTACAGCTCACGAAGAATCTTTATGTACTGAATAGGGACTCCTTGAAAATCAAGGGCTTCCGTGACTCCTTCCATCTCAATTGAATCAAAGGCCTTTTGTAAATCGATGAAAGTGAGACAGAGCGGTCTTTTGTACTCTCGCGATACCTCAATGAGCCTTGTTACCGTTTGGATATGGTCCATCCTACTAAATCCTCTTCGAAACCCTGCTTGTTCACATGGCTGTCCTTCGTCTAATGTTCTATCAATCCTGTTTAGGACGAGTCTAGTGAAAACTTTGTAGATGACAGACAGCAAGCAGATTGGGCGATAGTTGCCGATGTCGTGGTGGTCACGCTTTTTGAGCAATAGCACTGTCTTGCTGGACTTCTACTCAGTGGTGACCATGTATCCAGAAGGGTAGCGTGTGAATTGCTGGGCCAGTGTGTTTACGAGGACTGGCAGAAGGTTCTTAAGGTGTTCAGATCTTGTGCTGTCCGGACCTGGTGTGGGTCAATTTTTCACAGACCTAACAGCATGTCGGATTTCGAAGGGTTGAACTGGAAATACGGTATATTTGCCATTTCCACTCTTCTTTACTTCGTTTGAGGGCAGAAGGACGTGGCCATTGAAGAGATCTGAATACTAATCCTCAATGATTTTTTCCATTGCGTTTCTGGAAGCTGTAACTATTCCGTACGGCCGCCGGAGTGCAGTCACTTTGGGTTTGTATTGGGCTTCTGCTGTTTTCTGTTTAAGATCGTCTTTTGTCACCTTCCTACATTGTTTTGCAAGTTCGAACGACAGTGTACGGGTTCTTTTCTAAGTGGCGCGAATCCATTTTGGCGTACCAGCTCGAGTGTTTCAGGAAAAAGACGTCTCTTAGTGAATTTCGAACTCCCAGCTTTCATAAAGCTAACGTGAAGATGTTGAATAAACCGATCGCATTCCTCATCGATGTAATCAATAACGATATATTTCCAAGATCCAACTGATGAACTAAATAAACCCAATTTCGTTATAGTGTTGGGACTTTTTTCAATTTTGCGGCTTCTCATATTTCCACGAGAAATGAAATTTTGCACGAAGGAGGTTGTGGTCCGATCCTGTGTAGAATTTTGGACAATAGCGACATCGTTGGGCAAAACCTTCGATTTACTATAATGCAGTCTATTTTGCATTCAAACGCTTCGACTTTCCCTTTGTCGTAGTTAGATGTCAGTGCGTAAATGACGAAAGTTGTCAAAGCTGGTATCGATCCACGCCTCTTCAAGTGTTCAATCTGGTTTGTTGTTCAAATGATTTGATGTTCATGGCCGAACTCGTGTTAACGGAACAACGGCGCCACTAACTCCTCTGTTGTCGCATGTTACGAGGAACACTTCCTCTGCGGTGTCATAGACGATGTCAAATGGGTGGCTTGTTCTCGTCTCGGCCAGCCCGACGACGTCGCACCTTATCTTTCTTGGTTGCGTGATCAAGTTTACCATCGAGCACTCAGATGCAAGTCTACGCACATTGTAGGTACAGATTGCCACCGTGGTCGTTTGCGGTTTAAGCAGCCTAGAATGGTCTTGAGGCTTTAGTAGCCTCTCCATATTCGTCTTTTCCTATGGTACCGAATTGGGAGCTATTTCTACATCAGGGAAGTGTAACTCACTTATATTACCGTACTTAACTGTTTGATACTCACGCATAGCTTGCTGAGTTCTAAACATGTGGGCTGGGTATAACCACGGATAGGTTGCCAGTCTCTCCCAGACTGAACATGGAATTTATTTGTTGTAGGTGACTCCCCATCGTTTCCACATAATTCCTTGTTACTTAATCTTAGGCTTCAGACCGAATTGACTCGTAGAATAGAATACGCATAAACGAGAGCATACCCACACACGTATGCATGAATACGTCCTCGTAAATGCAGAAGGTGGTGGGGCGGATAGTGGAGTGGTAGTGATGTCTGTCGTAACGAGCATGGTGTTAGTTCTCCGCTTTGGGTCAACGAAATCTCTCATCCCTTCGGAGTCGCGAAATTGATACCTGGCTTGTCCGGAAAAAAAATCACTCTCTGCAATCCAATTGGGAACGCTTCATCCTGGTTATCTCAGGACTACAGGAAGAATCAAGTCGACCAGCATGCTGCGACATTCAAGATGAAGTGAAAAATCCTCAAGTAGTAACCAAAGCCACGTGCAAAACTTGGAAAATTTTCGTGAATAATGGATGCGAGGGAACAAATAAAATATGGGAAGTGCTGGGATCCGCACAATAGACGTGAATAAGGGCCATAAAGAAAATACAGAAGGTATGTGTCAAATCGGCGCGGCACAAACACGGAGTCTATCCCCTGGATCTACTGCGTCTCAGAGAAGCAAAGGTCGCCGCAATTAACCCTCCATCTTCCACCTAGGGAAGTGCCACGTTTCCGCGCGACTAATCGGCATGAGATTGCTCTACGAGGGAGATCCGTGAGATAGAATGTACAAAAAAAACAAAAAGAAGATAAAAAAGAGAAATCTCTCGGCGTTTATCAATCACTGAGGGGTGCGCTATGCGTTCGACTTCATTAAGCATCGTTTGGAAGTGATTGAATGCATATATGGTCTTTACAATGACTCGCGGTGCCCTACCGATGTATCGAGCCAGTGCTGCTATATTTCCAAACAAGTCTGGTGCCAATTTGCTGACCCCATAGGAATAGAAGGCTTGGTGGGCCACGGGCGCGGGAATCAACTCCACATGTGTGTCGAGAATGTATAAGAGTATTAATGTTATATAGCCGAAGCCGACGATGTTGGACGTGTGTGCTTATGGCAACGTGTGTATTCTCGTAGTGCGGTTGTATTTGGATTTTCGACAATTCTTGATCGTGGATTGGCCATGATTGAACCTGCTTTCTCATCCAGGTCCTTCTTTTTCCTATTTCATGCATTAAAAACATTTTGCACTTTCTTTCAGGAATTCACTTTAAGATAGATAACCGTAATACCTCATGGATGATAATTTCCTTTTTTGAGTTTTTTATTAAAAACAGTCTGGTATTTCCCACATTAGTTCAGCTCAAGATAACCTACTTGGCGCGTCGGTGTGGGTGGAGCTCTTATATGATGCCTAATTTTACAGCGCACTCACTATGAATAGATAACAACTTATATCGGCCCAATTGTACCAAGTGAACAGCTCCGAATCCTCCAAATTAATATCCTCTGTGCTTTTCCTCTTATAATTCGATTTTTCATGTATTTCGCTAAGATTTCCGTGGGTTTTTCTTTCCACGTATCTCTTGAGCTTTGCTTTTTCATGTGACTTTGGAAAATTCCGAACTAATGAAAACAACCCATCCGCTGTAGAACTACATTGCAGCCAACATTTGATGCCGACTTCGTAATATATAAACTATATCCCAGTGTACCTTTCTATATATATATACATATATACATATATATAATATGTTTTTGCCGGGCGCGTGTAACGCAGTGGCCGGAGGCGCCCTGCAACACACACAGGAAATTCATCTCCGCCCCCATGGTCCCCCAAGCCTTTCATCCCTCCGGGGTCGGCAAATTGGCACCAAACTTGTCTGGGACGATAGCACCACCGGCTCGATACATCGGTAGGCCACCGCAACCGCGAATCGTTATAAAGACCAGATATGCATTCAATCACCTCCAAACGATGCTTAATGAAGTCGAATGCATGGCGCGTCCCTTAGGGAATGATCTACTCCGAAAGCTTTATCCCTTATTCTTTTATATGTTCTTACCAGCTGGCCTTGTTGAGCTGATCTATATCCTGGCATTTTTAAGTACGTTCACTCCATAAAATAACCATGATGCATCCTAGTGACCGAATACGAATTTGAGATCAATTATTGACCAAAACTCACGTTCATATGTTTGACACATTGTAGACGATTTGTGTTTTTTGATAATTCCCAACAAATTTCCGATGAGTTAACTATCGCTATGTATTGCAGTGCGATTCCGAGAAACACCATCCACTGAGCATTTATCTTGATGAATAGTCGTCAGCGTTAGCCCCATATGCCATAGGATTTCCCACATGCGAGATTATATGGTTACACGATGTTTCATGGTGTTTTCTGTAAAGTGACGGAAAGTGTGCTAATTTAGTTGGTCTCTGCGTCAAGTCAGCATGTGGATATCGAAAATATTTGGAATAATGAAGCCATTAAATGTTAGAGACATCATAAATGAAAGGGATAAGCACATTCTCTGTTAACATCCACTTCATGCTCCATTGGCAGGCTTCCCTCATTGAGGATGTTGCCTTACTCAATACGTGAAACATTGAGCAAGGCAAGCGCTGTGAACTTCAGATAAATCAAAATAGGCTCCTAAATCGAAGCTGTAAAAAAATCCATGTACACAAATAGGTGATAGAAATGGGCTCGAATTTGTTGACTGAAACATACTTCGACCAATGTCTCCGAATGCTGTTTGCAGGCTGCAACGCACAAGTTAGGCCACGTGCCTGGAGAAGCGGGCGTGCGCGAGGCTCTGGCGACGCTGCACCTCATCCGCGCCTGCATGGTGACCAACTGCGCCTCCCAGTGCAAGTTCCAGCAGGCTGGGCGACAGAACGTCCTGCGCTCTCCACATGGACCTCATCGCTAGTGGTTCGCTAGACACTTATTTGTTGTCAGGTTGTCTGAGCCAACCGCTTCAACAAAAGTCGAGCAGAGTTCCTTTCAGCGAACACTGGCATTCTCATTGATAACGTGATTGCAGTCAGAAAAGCTATTATTTAGTGTGTTTTATGTGACAATATGATTTTCTTGAGAGGCTTATGTTATAACATTGTATTTGGGGAATTTTGAATAAACAAATGACTTTGCTTGTTTTTTGGATTTCTGTTATTGATTTGACTTAGCAGCGATTATCCCAGAAACATCCTAGCAATCGATACTTACCTAATTTTATACTTGCCTTACTCATTCTCACGTGTCGTTTCGATCCCATCAATCCTTCAATTCGTTTCGTTGCCTTGCAACTTTCATCCACAGAGATGGTCCTCTTCGGGTGTACATACGGCTGCAAGTTGAAGCGCAGTAGTGATTACTCTATGTGAGAATTCACTAGTGATGCCCTTTAAAAACAAAAATGAAGTCAACTAAACGGCTATTATCTCATTAAGATGCCCTCGTTCTCTTTTACGTAAAGTGTCTCGTCACAAAAAAGTAAGACAACCAATCCTGTGATGGCTCACTCACCCATTTTAGCTAGCAGCTAAAATTCAATGGTTTTTTTGTTGGCCCTTAATTTGATACAGTGGAGATATTTCCTTGCAGCAAGTCAACGCACAAAACTAACGCTTGTTCGGATGTCTTGCAAATCTTAAAAAATTTCGCCTCTTCATCGAGCTTCCCGTTCACAGCCGTCTATTGTGTAATACACGCTGCGCAATGCTGCCGTTCGCTCCCATACTGGTGCGTACCACCGACAAAACGTGTTCCCATCGTATTCGTTGTGAAAAAATTGCTAGCAAATTTTGTCCTGGTTGAAGAAACGCAAGCTTGTATATCGGCAGATTCGGGACCTTTACCGAAGGAACAACACGCAAGAAACGTTTTTATTACATGGAATCACAGAGTTTTTGCTGTATCACAGAGGATCATCATGTCGGTTTCATGCAGTAAAATCGCCCAGCAAACGATGACGGTGTGTAGCCACTGCAGCAAGTTGACCGTGGATATTTACAGACTTCTTTATTGCACACCTCTGTTTCGGAAGACGGCCTGAAATAAAGTTTATCTGAACCCAGTGCTCATCACATTTTGCAAAATGACGGTGCTTGCGATGGATTTGTTGTCGAGATTGTAAAAAACCAGTTCAACAAAGACGACAGTTATGCTTCCACTTCAATGTGAAGAAAATTTTCTCTGTATGGTCGCCGAAAACTATTGCATCATCGTAAGAATTTGTTTTACGTATCATACAAATCAATCTAGGAAGCGCATACACCCAGAAAGTAACAATAGGTGCTAACTTTCTTATCTACTGCCTACTCCAATTTTCACCGGCAGGGTATTACGTGAAACCAACCACAGTGATGCTGAGATATTTGCAAAATTCCGTGCGGTAAATGTCCACGGTGGGGAATCAACACGTTAGTACCCTTTCCGAGGCTAACGCGTTCGCGACCACACCACACGCTTCCTTAGTTTCGCCTTTCCCTCAGCTAGTTCTCTATCTAACAGTAGGTGTACTTGCAAATCAATGCTCTATTAAAAACGTTTTAGCTGCAAATATCACGCGATATCAATTTGTTCTATAAATGTGAAGTACCACGAATTTACGAAAAAGAAATATTTAAAACCGTCTCTACCTATGGCGCCCTTCAATTTTACATCAGTTAGGAAATCAACAGTTTTGGTAGCAGCGATCTCGAAAATACGCCGCTGTTGAACCTACTAGGAATAGTTTCGTACTTCTCTCATTTTTTTAGTTGCTCGTTTGTTTACTAGATAATGTTAGATTTATAAAGATTAAATGGTCGCCCATTTAGCAGTTTGTCTCATTTATACTTCCTCTCAACAATGTCAGTGTACCTACACCATGTCGTGCTTATTTAGCCTCGGCAACGGTATCGTTATAGTCGCTCTAAAAAAAATTTAAAAAATGTGATAAGAAATTGCTCACCCATTACATCTACACTCTGGTTTTGTCGTATTGCACTCTCTGAATCTTTGCCTGGTGCCACATGCTCCACAGTAGTCCGTACAGTTCGACCACTCCTTCCATTCGGCCCATTTTGAAGGCTCACATGTCAATCCCGTGGACACCTGTTTGGAATAGTGTTATAAATCTAAATTAATGGGTTTTATTAAGCCATATAGAGCAAATGTTTATGTTGTTTCTAAGAAATTCGGAATAATAAAGAGTCAATTGCATTTATTATTGATTGCATACCATTGTTAGAACGGTGGTTGATGAGACGTCCAATGACATCAGCGAAGCTTCTTAATTTTTTTACAGTTATAGTATGAATGTAATATTTTAAGTGAAATGAACAGATGCTCCTAAACTTACCTTTTTTTGAAGCACAACTCAAAGTTTCGACGGTTGCACCGGATGGTGTGAGCCACTTCGTCTGGCTGTTGCATACAAGGGTTAAATTCCTCTTGGCAGCGACATCTGTATGATTCTCACCAAGTGGCCCAATCCATGCCACCTCTGACTTCCGCTGTAACGACTGATATGGATTTTATGCGCCTTATTATCATTTGGAAAAGGTAATCCTTAAAAAAGTCTTTTATAAATTTATTATTAGACACTTTAGTGCCAGGTTAGGAATGACTAGCCAACGAAAATGAAAACATGATCATGGAAACTTAAAAGGCCGACTTTCTATAAGCTTCGGCATAACCAATCAATATCTTTGTTTATATGTTCTTATGAACTGTTCTTGTTTAGCTGAAGCGAAGTTGGTATAGTTGTCATAGTTGTCGTTGTTTTTGTTGTTGGTCGATGGCTGATGTTTCGGCGATTTCGCCTTCAGTTCATAAGAACGTATAAATAAATACATGATCATAAAATTTCGCATGCATGTTTGAAATGACAATGAATATGGTCTTTGCTAGATCTTTGCTCAAAAACTTAAATCAATTTTTTTCGAGAATAGAGCAAGTCACTGCTGTACGTGGGTGTCTCCTAACCGATACGATTAATATGGAGATCGGCCACATTCTCACAAGTAAAACATAATGTCTCTTTAACACCTGGGCTGCGGCATCATTGGGTACTAGATCCGATCACTTTGCCACCTTGTTCGAAGATTCCACTTAGTCAAACGGAGTCCTGCCAATGCCTCAGAAAAAAGACAAGGCATGGCGAAAACTTTCTCAAAAGAATTTTCAAACCGACTGTCATTTAACCTCGGTAATGAAATAATCAACATGTTTTCAAATTGTTGGGCTTACATGGTGTTGATAACATTGCTTATTTCGGCTAACGATTCGACGTCTTCGTCTTCATCAGAGCCGATGAATCGTGTCGGTGCTCCACAGCTGTTCGTTATCTCGATGTGGCGTCTTCGTTGTCGTATCGTGACGGGATCTTCTTTAGTGAACACCGCACGAATTATCAAGTAGTTATCAACCTCGCGTAAAAAAATTTTTCAAAAATTTAAGAACATTTTCAACGGAATCCGATTTTCATATAACTGGAAGATCAAAGAAGAGCCTATCGAAAGATATGAGAAAATTACTGAAGGAACTAAAACATTTGTCGAATACGGCTCATTTCCTCGAAAAAGGAGGTGAGATACGATTGCCTTTGGCGCCAACTAATCGGTTGAAAAGAGAACTGAAGCTATTGCACCTTCTTCGACACACTTAGCACAGCCTATGATGAATGTCAGCATTAGAAAACCTTCGTAGGAGAACTTACATCGGTACAGAAAAAATACAGAAAACAGCTCAGAAGAGAATCACTATAACGAATTGCCGTCAGCCAGCCCTAGCGGGAGGAATAATGGAACCACTGCCACTTCGCGCCATGACGCAGATTTAATCGTAGCGAAATTCAAATTCCGCACTAGCTCTTTCCGCTCTACAGTATCCGTCCCGGAACACGAAATTTACGCCGGAAAACAGTCATTTAATGCTAATTCTTCTCGAGATAAAATGCGATTAAAGAGGTAAAAATAGGTAAAGCTCCACGATCCAACAATATTACAACCGACTTCCTTCGAGCAGGTATCTGCCAACCACATGCACTGCTCGAAACCCGTATGTCGTCATATTTTCGAAAGGAAGCGATAGAAAACTATGAATAGTGAAATACAACCACAACGTTGCTGAGATATTTGCAAAAGTCTAGACCGCAAGTGTCTATGGTGGGGAACGAACGCGCTATTGTCTTTTCCGGGGAGTAACGCGTTCACCACCACACCATGCGGTTCCTTTGTTTCGCCTGTCTCTCAGCTATTTCTATCGATCTTTGCCACAGCAATCACCCGTCAGCGGGATTTATCTGAGGGGCCCAAATCGGCATAGAACCCAGTTAAGCTGCGGCTGTAGATGAAATCACAATGTTATACCTTTTTTATTTTCTGCCTACTATAATTTCGCGGTATGGTACTAAGCGAAATACAACCACAACGTTGCTAAGATATTTGCAAAACTCTGGACCGCAAGTGTCTATGGTGGGGAACGAACGCGCTATTGTCCTTATCGGGGAGTAACGCGTTCACCACCACACCATGCGGGTCCTTTGTTTCGCCTGTCTCTCTCAAAAGGTATAACATTGTGATTTCAACTACAGCCGCAGCTTAACTGAGTTCTATGCCGATTTGGGCGCCTCAGATCAATCCCGCTGACGGGTGATTGCTGTGGCAAAGATCGATAGAAATAGCTGAGAGACAGGCTAAACAAAGGACCCGCATGGTGTGGTGGTGAACGCGTTACTCCCCGGAAAGGACAATAGCTCACAAAATGAAATATCAAAACCTAGACACCTGCGGTCCAGAGTTTTGCAAATATCTCAGCAACGTTGTGGTTGTATTTCGCCTAGTACCCTGCCGCGAAATTATAGTAGGCAGAAAATAAAAAAGGTATAACATTGTAAATAAAGTTTCTACATATTTGTTGTTGAGCCAGGCTGGTTTATTGACCTTGAATATTTCGTCATTTTCGTTAGAAACCTGAACCATAGTCAATAACATTCCCGGGGAACACATCATTACTGGCTCTTACTGGTTACATTACTGGTTCACTGCTATTTCAAGGTTGTTTGATTATTCTCGGATCTTAGTCGTATCTTTTAAATCTGTTGAGGTTTTGATATTTCATTTTGTGAGAGCTTTATCAGGTCGACAACAAAAATCAAGTGGTAACAAGTCAGTAGATTCCATAATCGATAACTGTAGTGCTTGCGAATTAGACCTTAGCTATGCGTGGTAGTAAGATGTGACAACAATCAAGATTCAGCTCTTAAGGTGTTTAATTGCAATGGAACACCTTCTAGATAAGAATGCAACTGCAGTTTTTATATAGGAATCTTCCAATTCGTTGATACTTTTTTATTCTATAAAAAACCATTAATTAGATGTCTGCGCCGACCAAAGTTTGTGTAGCTTCACAGATTTTTTTGTCACTTATTTCTGTCCGAAGGACTGGCATTGAGGCTTCGTTTGTCATGAAGGTGTTCTTAATGATTTTTACTTTATTGCCTTGAATGGTGGTGACGGAAATATGTAGTGAAGTCACTGCTGCTAGCGATAATTCTTCAATCTGGTTCTAACTATATGTTATTAGTTCGGTAGCATATTTCGGTAACGATAGTTCATGTGCTGTAATCATTCTCAGAGTTTTCTGTGCCGTTTATCGAAACAAGGAGAAACGTGCAGAAGAAAAGTGTGTATGCAAAAGCAGTTTATTACACCCTTTACTGCTTTTCTGTTTGTTCATCTAAGTTACATTATGATGCTAAAACCTTAAATGTTCTATTATTTGTAGTATAAATGCGACGCTAGGTTTCGCCTTATCACTGTCACTTCTTCCATTCATCGGCAAATAAATCGAAAAAGCACTGTCGAAGTTCCTTAGTCATTTTGTCGCTTAACGGAGTTTATTGGTTGATTTTATTTGTCATTTAGACACGAAGGGTAATAGTAGCTTCAAGTGTTGGTTGTCAAGGTGAAAAAGACAACTAGTTGTTTGTACCCTACTTAAAATGTTGCGTTAGCAGATCTACCTCCCACAACTGCACTTTGCTTACTACTAACACTTCCTTTCGTGAGACAGAGCCTATGTTGAAAATAGAAGGACGATGTGTGGAAATATTTGGCAAAGGACAAAGGTATTCAGTGCAAAACTCAATGCGCCTTTTAAGATTTGTGGGCAAATGATATAGATAAACAAAGGGATTAACCGAGAGGAAATGAACTTGACAGTCGGCTTATCGAAAACACGCTGGATTGCTGGCATTCTTTTTTGGACAGATATATTCCACAGCCATTTTAACCCTTTTATTTACTGCCTACTTTTTTTAATGGCAGGGTATATTGCGAAACATAACTTCAATGATGCCGAGATATTTGCAAAACTCCGGACTGCAGATTGGATCTTTTTCCACGCTACTATATAGATTCTGTTCGCTTGATGGATACCTAGGCGAGTACTTTTTTATGTGGCCCGTAATATTTGGTTTTTTTCTGGTGGAAAACAGTTTATATCAGACATGTTTTCCTTCTAGGATTTTCGCGAAGAAGCCAGTCTTTATGCTTTGCTTATTGTGTACCGGACATTCCGTTCGACTGTAGTGGTTAAAAACCTCCTGCCGAACTAAATAGTAGTCGGTGGTAGGTCGCGTCACGCAATAGGTCGTCCTAACTTATCACATGTAAGTGTATACCTAGGCGGGAAGAATCAAAAAACTTTGCATGGAAGCGGTGATTCTTTGTCTTCCTCATAAGTCCAATGTGCTTAAAGAACCCAATGTTACTCAACTCCTTCTCACGTCTGCTGTTCTTGAGGTTGACTTCTCGACCCAGAAACACTACTTCACTCCTTGCCAGATTTGTCACCAATGGATTTGCACTTGTTTAACTACCAACTTTCTTGGCGAGAAAATACGTGAAAATTAAAAAGGATGGATGGAGAAGGACCGACGCTTTTTCTTAATCCAGTTATTGACATTGAG